TACAGAGCCACAGTGAATACGTCAGGCTTTAACAGCCATACAGTCTGTCACTACTACTCAACTCTGTGGTCGCAGCACAAAAGCAAAGAGCAAACAACATCTAAATGAATGTGTGGCCATGGTCCAATTAAATTTTATTCAGGGATACTGAAGTTTGAATTTTATATGATACTGTTGTGTCATAAAATATTTTGATTTCTTTTCAAGCACGTAAAAATAAAAAATAAATAAATAAACTTTCATAGCTTGTGGTCCTTATAAAAGGTTAACAAGTCAGATTTGGCCCACAGACTTCAGTTTCTTGGCCCTTTGTTAAAAAAGGATATACTAATGTCTATTTGGTATAAAGGGGTATCTAAGCTTATGAGCCTATGCTGATTGTTCTGCCACATCATGGATTTCTTTATGATGCAGAGTTAACATTTCATTTAAAAATCACAAATTAACAAGCACTTGACTAGGCTACTATGTGACAGGAACTGCTACTGCCCTAAACAGCGGAAAGAATGGTGACCAAGCACTTATCGAGCCTGTATGTAAGAAGACAAATGAGGAGGTAATAATTTTCCAACGGACGTACACAGAGCAAGGTCGAATTAAATTTAGGAGTCTAGGAATACTTTAGAGGAAGTAGTCACTAGTGTTTAGACCTGAAGGATGAACAGGAGCAGAGTGAGAACATGAACATTTGGGGGAGGAAGGCAGGGAACAGAAGCAATCCGGTGATGAGTAACAGTCAGGGAACAGTCTGGGTGAAGGATGAGTAACAAAACATGAAGGAAGGTTTAAAACACAGATAAAACCATATTCTGAGGGGCCCTGAAAGAATCAGAGAAAAATTAATGCACTGAAAGGTTTTAAGCAGGGTAGGGGAATGACTTAATTTATATTTGGAAGGCAGGTGAACTGGAAAAAGTGAGCAAAGTTAGGAGGATGATGCAGAAATCTAGAAGACTAAAAAAACCTGTATTGTAGCACTGGAGCTGTAGAGTAGTGGAATTCCAAAGATATTTAGGAAGGAGGCTCAAGGAGTGAATGATTGAACACAGGGATGAGGACAAAGGAAGGAAAAAAGGTTTCCTTTAGGACATCTGGATGGGTGGTCATTCCATTTACTGAGATGAGAAACCACAGAGGAAAAGTAACAACTACCTTCACAGAAAGAAAAAGGCATGCCCCCCCCCGTCC